TTTTTTTTTTTTTTTTTTTTTTTAGAATTCAGAAGTGGATCCAATTGGTCTCTAGCTATACCTGTTAGGCGATTATTACCATGTCAGTTCCATTGCTCATTATAGTGAAATGGCTAAGGTGAGGCCATCTTGTCCTGTTTTGTTTCTGCCTTCACACTCCCCAGCCTTCCACACTGTACCTCCATTGCCACATGCTCCTTGGCAATGCTGTTCTTGAGACTGTGACCCTGACCACAGTCCAGATCTATTAACCAAATTAATTGATCTTTGAGCAGGCAAAAACATAAAACTAAAATAACTAAGAAGAAGTGTAAGTCAAAACTAATTGTCATGTGGTGTCTGGAAAATATCACTAAGCCCTGCAAGAAGACAGATGTTGCTCCATTCCCTTCAAACACTGATGTGATTGTGGTTTTTTCTTTAAAGATGCTGTGCCCTGAGCTTTGGCACCAAGAGATTTTGAGGCATGAGTCTGCTCTTGGTCGCCCACTAATAAAAGGATTCATATATTTTAATCAGCTTAATTAGCATGGTTGTCAATATCTGTTTCCTCTATATCATTTCCTTGTTGATGTCTTGGTAAGTCATGTGTATGCCTAGAAATGTATATACCTTATCAGTCACGTATATACTTAGAAATTTATTATTTTTTCTAGACTTTCCAAAGTACTAGAGTATAATCTTTTAAAATGATTCTTAGCTGTCATCCCCCATCCCCACATACCCACTCTTGTGACTGGATGGTTACAGTAATAGTTCATGTTTCTTGGAACTAAAATCATTTTAAAGTCTGTGTCCACCTGTTCTCTACAGACCTAATTATAATTACTGCCTTCTTCTAGTGCACACTAACCCAGATAAAGTTCTGAGGTCCTGTTAGGGAAGGAGCCATCGACTGTGTGCATGTTTGGTGTCACCAGGGTGTTTCCTTGAGGAAGTCAACTGCCCTTCCCTGTAAACTACCTCTTGTCTGAGAATTGGCTTTGACCGTTTTTATATACTTGACTTGAAACTTTTCTGTTTATAAATATCAAGTGATGATATTTATCAAGGAGGCTTATTTATATTATTTATAGACATGGTCATTAATTAGCCAATCCAGTGGGTCAGTGGGAGTCACATTACTCTGTCACTTTGACACTGCTGTTGATTATGCTAACTGCATTGTCATAGACTCAGTGGTTCTGATCGTTCAATATTTGGAAGTCCTATCGGGGTCTCTCCCCGCCCAACCGGGCACGGTCATCAGTACAGGTATCGGGGTCTCTCCCTACAAAGTCCGAATTCCCAACATGGTGCTACTGAGAGATGGGAGTCTTTGGGAAATTATTAGATCATGAGGGTGGAACTTTCACCCACATAATTGGTATCCTGTTACTAAGCCCAGAGACCAATTTTGAAGACTATGTCTATATTTCAGCAGATCATCTCATCACCAAAAGTCAAGGAAGTGGGGAGAAGCATTTTCTGAAGCTCCAGGTTATCACTCCTGGCCAGCAATGCCATGGGCTGGACACTGTTCCAGTATGGAATTTAGCTCCTCTGTCCACATGCGTCTGCCCTGGAAGGCAGGACTGCAGCTTTGGTAGGTTAAAGAGAACTGAATACTGTGCTAGATACTTTATTGCTGTATTTTATCATTTCGTCTTCTCATAGTTTTTTTTTTTCCTTTCCTTGCCTCACTTCCTTTTGGGCATTTTATTTTATTCATTCTTTGAGAATTTCATATATTTAAACAGTATGTAAATATATTTATACAGTGGTGTTTTGATATCACCCATGTCGTGTTCCTCTCCCAACTTCATTTTCTCCTTTCCCTCTTCCTCCTCTTCATCTTGATTTTCCTTTCATAACCCACTGGGTCCAGTTACAGCTGTTTGTCTGCCCGTGGGTGTAGGGCCATCCCCTGGAGCGTTTCTCCAATTTCTTATTTTTCACTGGTGTGAATAAAAGAGCAGTGCTTATATTTTTAACATTTGCTGCCACCATGTGATAATCCTTCTTTATTGTGCTAGGGGGGTGGGAGGGAAATGATCCAGCTACTTCTGACCAGAACAGGAACAAAGCAGGGAGCACACACTAAACTCCAAACAAGGACGCAAAGAATCTGAGCCAGGCATCCAGCACAGCTCAACTGTGTCTTACAATTGCATTTATTCTTTAAAATCCCATTCATCTACACATAACCTAATTTGAGTGTATCCTTTTCCTGATTCCACCTCAAAATTAGATGTATAATGACTCTGGAAACATGTTGTTGATCCTGTTTCTTTACCAAGTAGATTCCAGGGGAAAAAATTGCACAGGAAGCTTGGCCTAATCTCCAGAAATATTTCCATCGTTAAAATCTCCCAGGAAACATTCATTTTTCTCTAGAACTTACTGTATTGGCCCAAGCAATTTTGACTTTCCCTAAAAATTAATAAAAAATGTTTTAAGAAGTAGAAGTTTGTTTGAAACAGATCTGCTGTATCCTTCCCACCATTTCTCTTCCTCCATTTGTTCTCATCCTTTCCCTGAATTGCTGACATCACCACTGCTTTTTGTTGTCCTTTTTTTTAGAGACAGGGTTTCTCTGTGTATCCCAGGCTGTCCTGGATCTCAGTTTGTAGACCAGGCTGGCCTCAAACACAGAGATCCACCTGCCACTGGGATTAAGGGCTTGGATCATCACTCCTGGCTGTATATATTCTCTTTTTTACTCTACAGGTCCTTTGTGTATATATTATGGCTTCCTCTTTACTGTTTTGATGGCATTCCTGAGTGTGTGAACAAGCGGGTATCTGTCTTTATCTGTTTCTTGTGTTCCTCCTTGGATCACTTCCTTCTGCTTTTTTTTTTTTTTTTTTTGTCTTATTCGGAAGAGTTGGTTTTGTTTTATCACCATATCATGCTATATTGTGTATTATAAATATTGCTTAGAGGGCTGTTTGCTTTCTTTTGATTCTTTCTTTTTTCTTGTTTTGGTTTTTCAAGACAGGGTTTCTCCGTGCAGCTCTGGCAGTCCTAGAATTCTATGGACCAGGCATCCCTCAAATTCACAGAGATCCACCTTCCTCTACCTCTCCCACTGTTGGGAAATAAGGTGGATCTAGATGGAAGAGGAGGTGGGAAGGGGACCTGAGAGGAGTAGAGACTGGGCAAACTCTAATCAGTACAAATTATGTGAGACAAAAAAAATTCTATTTTCAATGAAAGGGAAAAGAAAGAAAAACAAAAAAGAAAATGCTGGTCAAGTTTCTATCATTGAGCTATAATCCTTGCCTTTTTATTTTTAGACAGCCTGCTCTTGAAGCCCAAGCTCACCTGGAACTTGCTAGGTCACCTAAGTTGCTCTTGAATGTACAATCCTCCTGCCTCATTCTTCAGAAATGCTCTGAATGCAGGCTTGAATCCCCATTACCTGCTTGTTTCATAGTGGTTTCAGTAATATACCCACTGTGGGTTTTGTTATGGAGGAAAGGCGGCAATGACTTACTCTTCATGTACTGAGGGTCTGTATTATTATGTCGTTTGTACAATGTTCCCATTTTTCACAGTGCATGCGATCTGTTTGGATGTCATGCCTGTTCACTTCAAATGTGGGGTATGGTGGAAGGCAGAAATGAGCATGGCGTAAATTTGTATTAAGTGAAGAAAGAACCAAAGACAGAGAGAGACTGTTCAGAAGTATTGAATTTATTCGTCATGATTGTTCAAATTATAATTGCAGAGACAAAATCACCATCTTGAAGGGGTTTGGGGTTAACAGCAATGGCTTGTCCACAGATAGAACTTTCATAAATTTTGTTACTCTGTGTATGTGGAGAGAAGAAACAACACATCAGATATACATAATTCTAACAGGGTATGGACAGTAGGGTTTTCTGCAGGAAAGCAAACTGGCCATGGTGGAGCATGGGGTTCATCGGATTTTCTACCACAAGCTACAATATAATTTGGTTAGTGTGCCAATCCCAAGGTGTTCATTTCTGTGTTTTCACACAGCAAAGGGCTCTGAGCTCATCTAACAAAAGTTCTGGGTAGTTTTGGAGTGAAGGAGGCCAGAGGAAGGATTGTGGTAAGGAATGCTAGGTGCTCACCTGAGCTGCAGGGGGCGCTATATTCAGCAAAGACCACTTCATCTGAAAGACATGGAGAACATTGAGAATGGGAGCTTTGATGCCAGAGGATTATTTAGAGTGCGGTTAATGTCTTAGGATTGACCAATTCCCTCAATTGACCCAGCCAGGACCTGGGTGATTGCTGGAAAGTCATCTCTCTGGGGACATCAGACAAGCCAAGCAGAGGAATCTCTCCCCTTGAAGCCACTGGTTGACACCTTTATCCTGGGCAGGCAAGATGGCTCAGTGGGGAAAGGTGCTAGTGGCCATGTCTGACACCATAGTGAGTTCAAGCCTCAGGATCCACATGGCAGAAGGCAAGAGGCCATTTCCGAAAATTGCCCTCTAACCTCCACAGGCACCATGGAATGCCTCCCTCACACTAAATAAATACACAAATGTGCATCAACACCAGAATAATTCACCCTATAGAGAAACTCCGTGTGTGCTTATCCTACAGTGTTTGAGCGGAGTACTAGGAGTGGTCCCTGTAATCATGTATCCCCTCAGGTGACTTTCTATAGTTCTGATTTTCTCCTTCAGTTTTCCCTGAACTCTTCTATTCTGAAACATTCGGCAGAGAAAATCCCCATTTAATTCTCCCGCTCTGTTTTGTCCTCTTTCTTTGGTCATCAATGACCACTCAGACTACATTTCTCTCTCGTCTTTTTATTCCTACTGTAATGATTTGTATCATTCTTCATCTTTGCATTGCTGTATTCAGAAGATTTGTGTGTCTTTCACCTGCAGACATTTCTTTGTTTCCATTGGGTTATTTGGACATGTTTGGTCCCCCATGAATGTTTGGACAAACAGGTAGGAACAAGATATCAGTGGCTGAATGAACTGAAATCTTATGTTTGTTATATGCATGTTCTTTCATTAAGAGCTGACTTGGCCAGTCTGGCCTATGTAGTGTGTCACTGTCTCAAAAATAATTGTTTTTAAAACTGGGTGTGATGGTATATGCCTGTCATAGCATTTGGGAAACTGAGACATGAGAATTGAGAGTTTGACGCCAGCCTGGACTGCATAGTGAGAAGCTGTTTGAAAAGAAAAGAAAAGAAAAGAAAAGAGAAAATGAAAGAAAAAAATCAAGTCGCTTTTAGGGTTTTTCCTAATCCCTTGCTCACCTGTCTCATAGTAGTCATAGACTTTCACAATGGCAGGCTGCAGGTTCCTTACTGGGATGTCTTGTTGAATGACGAAGGAGAAGGTCAGTGTCTGATTGGTCACCTGCGAATAGAGAAAAATAAGTTCAGAATCACAGAGGTGGCCAACTTGCTGACTTGGGACCCCCATTATAAGACCGAGGATATCCAGCAACAAGAAAAGGGAAATTAAGATTATTATCATAATCATTATTATCATTATTGGTGTGAGTGTGTGTGTGTGTGTGTGTGTGTGTGTGTGTGTGTGTGTTTCTATTCTAGTGGGGGCCAAAGAAGGGCATTGGATCCCCTGGAACTGGAGTTACATGGAGTTGTGAGGTGTTGTGGGTTCAGGGAACTGAACTCTGGTCGTCTACAAGAACAGTAAGTGCTCTTAACTGTTGAGCCATGTCTCTAGGCCAGTGAAAGAGAATTTAAACATCCTCTAGTATGAACAGAGGCAAGGGGCCTCTCCAAAAACCTTCCTTTAGAATTGCTTTTCTCCTGCCTTATAAAGACTCACCTAGACATGTTTTGGAAGGCATGAGGGGACCTTACCGTATCCACATATAACAAGACATTGTTGTTGCTCATTTCCGTTTTGCTAACATGTTCTGATCTTTCAAGCTGAAGAGGAGATAAAATCACTTGTGTTACTGAAAAAGAGAAGGCCTTGAGACTGAAAAAGGCAAATGAACTATGCAATTGAAGATGAAAGAGGGGATGTCACCAACTCATTTAAATGAACTGGAAGAAACTTTCCAGACAATGAAAGCAAATATATTCAGAAAATTGTGAATACCCCTCTACTAGAGTCCTGACTTAGAAATCTGCAGTTTTGACTTTTGTTTGAAGGTGAAATAGTTCTGCATTTGATAGAACTTACTTACTCATGCAAGTGTCTTTCTCTGTACTCTGCTTTTGGCCTCAGCTTCTTCTTCTTTTCATAGTTCTTAAAACACCACATTTATATTTTGTTATTTAATAATATTTCACCCTGAATCATTATTGACCAGGTCCCTTCCACCTTAAAAGCTTTTGATAGCTAGATTGTGGGCTCAGGGAACTTTCTTATATTTCTTCTGCTGCTGCTTCACAGTCACACCTATACTTAGCATTATATAAATCCCATTTTTGTTAGATTAGTACCACCTTTGCTTTGATGCAGGGTGGCATCATCATGATGGTGCTCCATGTTCCTAGTCTGAGGATACAGACAATCCAAACATCTGGTCTACCTACCTTTTTCACTGTTGGTTTCAAGGGGATGAAACCAGACACCATCTTCACATCAACAATCACCATGTTGGATGCTGGGCGGCTCCCTGTGTAACTGCAGAGCAGAGAAGTGGATGAAGGAGTAATTTTAATATTTTGAATCTTGCCTCCTTTGAGGTGCAGCAGTAATTCCTGATAGGACCTGTGTGATTTTTCCCATACTTTAAAATATATGGCCATTATTCCCAAAGTATATAGTTTTGAAAATAGACTGTATAACAGTATCACCTGCAGAGTTCATAGAAATTAGATGAATCTATGGGGCATGTTGATCAGCCAGTATAGTCTTCTTAGCAAGCCCCTGGGCAGTGAAAGACCTTATCTCAAAACCCCAGTATGTATAGAAATTGAGGACTGATGGTTAAGTTTGTCCCCTATAGCCTCTCTCTCTCTCTCTCTCTCTCTCTCTCTCTCTCTCTCTCTCACACACACACACACCATAGTTCTGGAATATTAGTTGAATGATGCAAAAGAAGCATGAGGAGCAAGAAAAGGAGAGGAGAACACCAGGGATCAGCCACCAGCCAGCCATGGAGTAAGAAGGAAAGCAAGATCTATAGAACAAAAAAGATAGAAAACCCCAGGGCAAAACATATTTGCAGAGAAATGGGATGATTTAAGTTAAGTTAGAAGAGTTGGCTAGAAGCCAGGCATTGGTGTCACATGTCTTTAATCCCAGCACTCGGGAGGCAGAGGCTGGCGGATCTCTGTGAGTTCGAGGCCAGCCTGGTCTACAGAGCGAGTGCCAGGATAGGCTCCAAAGCTATATGGAGAAACCCTGTCTGGAAAAAAAAAGAAAGGAAGGAAGGAAGTAGGAAAGAAGGAAAGAGAAAGAAAGAGAGAGAGAGAGAGAGAGAGAGAGAGGGAAGGAGGGAGGGAGGGAGGGAGGGATGGAGGGAGAAAGGAAGGAAGGAAGAAAAGGAAAGCTGGCTAGAAAGGAGCTAAGCTAAGGCCAGGCATTTATAAAGTAAGAATAATCTCAATGTATTTATTTGGGAGCTGGGTGTCAGGCCCCAAAAGAGTAAACAGATCAACTGTCCCCCACCACACTGTGGTGAAACAAGATGATAGGTCACACTGTGGAATACTTCTTTCCATCCAAGAGCCCTTCAGATTTTCCAGTTAGACCCGTTTCTGATTATATTGTATATGAAGCTTTTGACAAGTGTCAGAACAACAGAATATCTTTTTTCCCCTCTAGAAAAATTGAAGCTTAAAAGACGAGGAAGGCTTGCCTTTGTTGGTGAAGAATAATAGCCCACATTAGGGTATAAAGGAAAAGAATAATTTATTATTTTGCTATTATATTGGGTGATAAAAGATACACAAAATTAGACTAAATAAGATTATAATTCTACAAATCTTCATTGTTCACCTTGCTGAAGTCAAGTGCGTTTTTTTTTGTTTATTTGTTTGTTTTTATAGACTAAGCAAAATCTTTTTTTTTTTTTTTGAGACAGAGTTTCTCTGTGTAGCCTTGGCTATCCTGGAACTTGCTCTGTAGACCATGCTGGTCTCAAACTGAGAGAGATCCTTCAGCCTCTGCCTCCTGAGTGCTGGGATTAAAGGCATGCACCACCAGTGCCAGGCAGACAAAGCAAAATCTTAATGACAAGACTTGCTTTAGATATCTCTGAACCCATTCTGTGAAGAGTTCTAGGAAGACAACACTGTAGTAGCCAAGACAGACAGAGGTCCATACCTGATTTCTAGTGAGATCTGGAAGCTGTTGTGGCCTTCGGGGTTATCACAAGTCAGAGGCAGGGTCTGCACCCTCAGTGTGAATGCAGACTCCTGTTTCTCCAATTGCATGTTGTACCTCAGTGTTGTCTGATAAGTAGTGAATAGAAACACTTCACCTCCATTGCACTGGGTCCTTGGATTGATGTCTCCCAATTTGAGCATAATGTGGGCAGGTAGGCAAAGGGAGACTTTCCATTTGAGGGAAGGAGACCCACAGCTGTATACCTACAACTTCCCAGAATCTTACCTGAGCATACACACATCCTTCCCCTGACACACTGATGTCATAGTCTCCAGGGATGTCTGGTAGTGAGATCTGCTGCAGTAACAGTCGATTGCTGCTCTCTATTTGGAATGTTCTGGAAAATGTCCCTGAAGATTGGATGGTGACTGAAGGAGTTTTCTGACTTCTGGCAAAAGTAACTGCCCCATACTTGGACAAAGCATGGAGAGCCACCACAGTGTCCTGTGAGGGATGAGTGTAAAAGCTCAGGATAGTATCAGTGTGGAAGGGCTTGGGCTCTTCCTGAAGCTGGGACAAAAGTGTCATGAGATTTTGTCTCTAGTTATTTGATCTGTAGTTTTTAATTTAGGAAGTATGGAGAAACACTTCTCTGGAGACAAATTCTGCTACCTATGCCCAGGATTCGTAGAGCATAATTTATAGACATTATGGTAGATGTGTATTTTTTGGGGAAAATATTACATCATTAGAATTATACTGACTAGATGATAAAGCAAATGGTTTGCAGTCTTGATTGTTTCCAACTATCAAGAGGTTAAGGAAGGCAGAAGGAACTCCTACTAACTTGGGGAAAACCTGAGGGCAATCTCTCTATACATATGATTCGGGAACTCCGTCAGGAGAAGGAAAATGGCCACACCTAAGGGCAGCAGGATGATAAAGATGTCAGTTTGGTCCAAGTAGCATCTTTAGGTACTCCAAAGGCAGAAGGAACTCCTACTAACTTGGGGAAAACCTGAGGGCAATCTCTCTATACATATGATTCGGGAACTCCGTCAGGAGAAGGAAAATGGCCACACCTAAGGGCAGCAGGATGATAAAGATGTCAGTTTGGTCCAAGTAGCATCTTTAGGTACTCCACATGCTATTCTAGGGTAGGTTTTGTCTAGGATTCTGGACACTCCAGGGGTTTTGCCATTGTTTTCTATCAGGGTTTGGGTCTTGTTAGAAGTTCTCAGCTATGTAGGTCTGTTTCACTGAATGTAGTATGAAGAGAACTCTGTGTCTGAACACAGGAAGTAGACAAATTTATTATGGGTTGTATCATTCCCCACTTCCTATGTCCTTGTTTTCTCTCTCTCCTCTTCTCCTGGTTATTGTTCTTGCATCTCTTGTTCAAATCCCCTCATTGCATGGGGACTCTGAGGAAATTCACTGACCTGTGTGGAAGAGAAACCACCATGGGGATTCTGCTGCTTTGTGAGCCACTTCACGATTTGTAATGCCACACCCAGGTCCTCAGGAGTTGGGGCTGGCTGGGCAGTGAGGAGAGTGAGGAGGACATAGGCGTTCATCTCCACTTCAGCAGAGGGAGCCTGCGGTTTGTACAGAGACCTCTCTGATTGCATGGGTTTCTGAGGTCTTTCCCAATGGATGGAGTTTTCTTAGGGTAAAAACAGAGAATTAACTAGAAGTATGGGTAGTCAGTGAATGACTTATGTCTACATTTAGAAAGAAGGATATATAAAAGTTTGTAGTAAGTTTTAAATTTTTCATTACAGCACCCCAGATTAATCAATATGTAATAAAAATCTACATATGGTATGATAGAGAAAGATATCAAAACAGAAGTTCCTAAGTTGTTAACTAAACTACATCCTCAACGATGTTCTAGCAGAGTTGGTGAGACCACTATAACAGACAAGATTCTTTCACTCAGAATTCAGTCCAAATGAATTAGGAAATTTTCCCAATGGTTTCAGAATTGCATTTGAGACAACAAAACCTTGAAGCAAAGTTTCATGTGTGTGTGTGTGTGTGTGTGTGTGTGTGTGTGTGTGTGTGTGTGTGTGTCTTTTTCAGTATAGTCTTTGCTCTTCCTGATTGGGTATATGCCCATCAGAGTGACAAGGTAAGTTTTATCTACATTTACCTTTGTAATGACAGTTGGCACTGTATACAATCTCCTTTGATATTACATTTGTTGATTTTGGTCATACTATGAGGAAATACTGTAGAAAAATTGTTTGTGTATAGAAGAAATGCTAATTTCCTAATGGGTCAATCCAAGGAGAAACCTTTGTGTGCCATAGAGACAGAACTAAAATATACTGTTTTGACACTGTATACTCCCGTTTCCATTCCCTGGAAGTGGATGGAGACAAACGTGATAACACACATTCTTACCTTCTTTTATAGCTTCATTATCAAGTGATTTCAGGATTTCATTTCTCTTATCTTGGTTCCCTGCCAGAGCAAAAGCATAGGCTAGCAGTGCCTTGGTGTACACGAACTTGCCATTTTCCTGTTGCTGTATTGTCTTCCAGGATGACTCTAGGCAGGTCAGGGCTTTGGAGACAACAGGATGCTGTTGGCAGAGAAATCAAACTTGAGCAATGTGGTAAAAGGTCCTAAAATACCCTGGAACAAACATGGAGGATATAGACATTTATTCCCTTCAAATCATACATCAATACCTCTGCCTCCCTCACTCCCTCTGTTTGGGGTCCATTCTTTTTTATAAAGAACATTCCATTTAATTACAGCCTGATAGGGACAGAATTATAGGCTGTGTTTTCTGCTTGATTTTTCGAACATAACCAGGATTTAATTGAGCAGGCCAATGCTTAATAATGTAATCTGTCAAATGCAAGAGTTTTGTAAAAAAAAAAAAAATGCTGCCACTTGGCTTTAGAGAGGGTAGGAAACCCTAGGTTTTACACCAGCTTGGGAAGCTGGAGAAGCAGTGTGGCACCTACTGTGTCTGGGATTGAACTCTCTAGAAAGGCAATGGTAATATAGGCAGAGAGGGTCACTTCATCCTTTACTCCACCCTGCAAAACAAAAGGAATGAAAGAGATAAAATGTACAGCAAGCAGTCCATCAAAGATGTCTTCCCCACTCATAGCCAACACTCTGTATTCAAAGGAAGCTTTCATTTATATCCCCATTATGAAAAGTACATTCCCAACCTAGAAGCTTATTCGTCACCATGGTAAGTAGTATGACCTGACTTTCAGATGTTATTATAAGGTCACCATGCTTATAAGTAGTTCAGAATAGATCACCTTCATGGCATTGTTGAACAGCGATCCAGAGCTCCTAAAACAGCCGTTGTCCTGCTGCTGCTGGGACAGCCAGGTGAAGGCATGGGTGATGTGTGTTTCATCGACAAAGATGAAGGCTCGAGCTTGGGCAAAAGACTTGAGGACAAAGGCTGTGAGCCTGATATGGAAGGGAGAGTGGGGAGCTGAAGGCTTTTGTTCTCATGCAGAGGCTTCACACACAGGTTCCCTGGGGTCTGAACCACATTTCTGTTTGGTTAGTCTAAGGCTCTCTGAGTGTGTATAGCTGGACAGTGTCTCTTGCTATTCCAAAGTAGTCTCCCATCCCCTGGTCCTCTTGGATTTGGACACAGTGTGGCTCAGCTGCTTCCTGCTTTGCTTTCTCGTTGCTTCTCCCTTGCTCACTCTGGTGTTTCCCTAACACCTGCATCCTCATCTCAACCTTTCCCCCCTTCAGATGAGTTTCTTTTGTAGAAAAGAAAAATCTTCTAAAACCCCTGCAATGTGTTTCTTACCTCTAAAATTCAATCCCTCTTCTTGGTTTACTTCCTATTTCCATCAGTTTCTATGTCATTTGTCACCTGTTTGTCTGTGTGTTTTATCTCAAGAACACATTCTTATGCAATGCAAGGTCTCCTGAAGAATGGTAACAGTTTTTCAAGTCTCAGTCATGAGCATCTTTCAGTGCTCAGTGATATGTAGCCAAGTATTTACTGACAAAAGCTCTTCAGGAGAAATGAGAACCCCAGCTTATTAAAATAATAGGTTGTATGGAGCCAAAGCAGATGAGCCTTGAGACAGTTTCAGTTCTCTACTTACCTTTCCTGCTACCTCAAACCTGTCCCTTTCTGCCTGGTCATCGATCATATTACATAAAACATGGTGCATGTGTAGCTGCCAAGGGGAACAAGAGTTGAACAAGGCCTGACACATAGTGCACTTTTCTTACCAAGTGTTTCCTTGGCTCTGGCCATCTTGATCCCCAAAGGCGCTATAAGAGCCATCCTTGTGTTTGTAGTTCAGCTCTCTCTGATAGCCTGGAATGGAAGACTATAGTTGTGTTTTGAAGAAACTCAAGCTCCAGAGAATGACAGAATGTAACTCTGGAACCACAGAGGCCCTCGTATGCTGTGGTTTGTAGGACTGACCAATGAGATCACTGCTCAGCTTTCCCTCCCCCATACTAAGCCCATTTCTAGAGAGACCCTGGACAAGAACAAAGTGGAGTTTCTAAGCCTTACTGACTGAAAGGTCCAGAAATAGGAAATGAAGGACCCAGGAATAGGGATATACAAGTATAGGAATGTGAATTTGCAACTTTAAAAAAAAGTAGGAAATGAAAGTCAGTAACTCTGTCAGCAGTTAGGGATTAACTTTTTACAATGGAGTTCCTGGCTCTAGGAGCAGGAACTGTCTGTGATCCAAGGTTAGCATTTTTTTCAGTGGCTCCCTCTGTATGGAGAATTAGCTATCAGGTAACCCCTTGTTACAACCCACAGCTGCTGTGAACTAAGTTAACTTTTAATACTGGGTTGTGACTTTCAGTTGCATTGTTTCATACTCCTCTCTGCCTTGGGAAAACTTCTCTGCAGGAAAGTGCAGATTTGTTAAACACCATTAGAAGTTATGGGAGAAAGAATAAGCTAATATGAACAGTAACTAAGTCAAAGACATTGTTAATGGAATTTGTAAAAAATAGTCTGTACTGAAGTTTTGCCTTGACATTGTGAAGGTTCTTTGGTCCATAACTAATGCTTACTTCTTACTATAAAAGCAGAGCTAGGAAATGGGAGCCCACCCTGATAACCAGAACTCTGGCTGTGGTCTCAGTTAACAGATATTTTTTTTTTTTGTACACTGAGGTGACTTTAAATAAAGTTTGCTTCTGTTTCCTCTTTAGTAGTCTGTTCCCCCACCCTTTACATCTCCCCCGCCCAACACTGACCCTCAGTGAGATAGCCAATGGCCTTGGACTTGATGTTCTGAGTCAGCTGTTGGGTCTCATTCAGATATTTCAGTACATAGATGTTGGGGGCAAAAAGCACCATGTTCTGCTCCCCACAGCCAAAGGGCATATGCAGAAGGTTTTGTGTGTTTTTTATGGCCGAACTCAAGATGTCACCTGGAAGTGAGAGATGTAACATCAGACAGAACAGCCATTATCTTCAAGAACAAAACAGCATCTTAAGTAGAATCATTTCTCAGTGATAGGGTGAGGTGGGCTGGGAACCAGGTGGATGTTGAGACAGAAGAAAGATGTCAAAGGGTTTAAGTGTAGTAGTTCAGAATTTACATTTGGAATCACAGAGGTGACAGGGTGGTGGTAGTGACCATTGCCCCAAATCCTCCAGGGATGGAATGACTCACCCTGCACAGAGAAATGGGCTCTGACTGAATCTTCCACAACCTTCAATGGTAGCTTCAGGGACACTTTTTCAGATATCTTAGCATCTTAATAAGCAAAAGAAATATGTAGATGTTTATCACTTTTCTCTGAGTTTCTAAACTGCCCTTAGGCCAGTCAGTTTAGAATTGTGTCTTAAGTTTTGACTTCTTGTTTCCCTGAAAATAATCTTGCGGTAATATACAAATCCACATTTCCTGGTACTATTGCTTCTGCTTTTATCACTTATTGTATTGAAGCAAAGCACCTCCTAAATCAATTTTTGAATCTCCTATTAATTATTAATTAATAATCATTTATTTAATAAACACATGAAAATATGTTTATTGATTGAATTGTGGTTTATGTATATTCTGCTTAGGGTTTTTGTTTTGTCTGTTTTGTGTATGTGAACTTTGACACTAGTTAGTGTTTTCTAGCAAGAGGGAACCTCAATTGAGAAAATGCCTTTATAAAATTGGACTATAGGCAAGTCTTCGGGCATTTCCTTTTTTAATGATTGATGTGGCAGGGCCTGGCCCACTGTGGTTGGTGCCTCCTCTGAGCAGGTGGTTTTGTCAGGTATACAAGAAAGCAAAGTGAGTAAGCCAGGGAGAGCAAGCAGCGCTCCCCACAGTCTCTGCTTCAGCTCCTTCCTTCAGGTTCCTGGCCTGTCTTCCCCACCATGAACTGTGATCATGGAAGGTGAAACAAACCACTCCTCTCCAAGTTGCTTTTGGTCATGGTGTTTTTGTCTCAATGATAGAAACCTAAAATAAGGCAATGCATGAATAAACATCCACTACTTCAGAATAGGAAAGTGGGTAAATGCTGAGCTGGCCTTTGTTATTTCTGGGTTCTCCCTGAGCTACCTTAAGAGGTCTCACTGAGAACTCTCATGCTGCTGTCATGGAGGGCTTTCCTATGTCGGGAGATGGCCAGATTGCCTTGTAATAAATAATTATCAGGAGAACCAAAACTGAAAGTTGGGAAGTATATGGATTTTCTTATCCTGTCCTTGGATGCTTAAAAAAATTAGTGTGCTTCCTCCCATGGAAAACATTTAAAGGATTTCAGCATTATATGACAGTTTTCTTCACACACCATGTTTGCAAAGGCTAAACTTATTTTTTCCCTTTTAAAAAGAAAATGTCTTTTACATTAAATTAAACTATTATCCCAATTTCTTTATTCTTTTGACAAATATATGTTGAGCAAGCACTACAGCACTCACTAGTGTAGGTGCTGGTGATGTAGTCATTACTGTGAGTGGACAGGCTCTGCCTTCATGCTTGCCCCTCATAGGGGACAGTGAGCTTCCCTGTGTGATACAATGTTGTATTTCCTCTGCAATAGTGCACCCAGTGAGGAGCACAGATGAAATACCAAGTCAAAAAACAACCATTAAAGAAAACTATTATGCTTATTACAAATCATAATTTTTCTTGGTTTATGTATGGATATTATTCAACTACAAAACCTTTGTTTTTATTTGTGATCTAATACAAACAACTACATTTATATCCAAGATATTTCTGTATTTTTCGTTTTTTAAGGAAAATTTTGATTGTGACCTCTTCTTAGCTATTCCCTAGCTATAACTTTCTAAGTACTAGACGAAAAGATTTCTCTCTCCTAAAGAAAAGTGCTAAAATGAACTCTGAAGTCCCAGGTAGAACTGACTGTACTCTTGATAACTGTGTCTGGTAAGTAAAGGCCTTGCCAAATGATGTGACTCAGTTTGGTTATTTTTTTAGTGGTTATGAGGTATACAGTATCCTGGTTTTCTTCTTTTTTTGAGTAATTTTTTTCATTTATTTTACATACCAACCAGTTTCCAGTTCTCCTCTCTTCCCATTCACCCCTCCTCCCACCTCTAGTCTAACCACTCCTCTTCCATACGGAAAGGAGCGGGCATCAGCTGGGCTGTGATAGCACACAGCTTTAATCCCAGCACTCTGTAGGCAGAAGCAGGTGGATCTCTGAGAGTTGAGACCAGGCTGATCTACAACTAGTTTCAGGATCTAGTTTCAGGAAAGCCTCCAAAGCCACAGAGAAACCCTGTCTCAAAACCCACCCCCCACCCAGAAAAAAAAAGCAGCATAAAGAAGAAGGCCTCCAATGGGAGTCTACAAAACATGGCATATCAAGTTGAGGCAGGACCAACTTCCGCTCCCCCCATCCCACCCCCAGCATCAGTGCTGGGTGAAGCATCCCAGCATGGGGAATAGGTTCCAAAAAGACAGGTTGTGTGCCAGGCACAGGTCCTGATCTCACTGCTAGAGGCCCCACAAACAGAGCAAACTGCTCAACTATCCTGGTTTTATTACAAGTATAATGTAAGAGATCTAAGTAAAAGACATCAGTGATTATCTTACTGTTGTTTTGCAGGATTCTCACCTGATGCACAGAGCAGTGAACTGAAGGTATGTTCCTTCTTAATTCCTTCGGGCTTGCAAAAGATAGAAATTTCAGACATGAGAAATTACAGTGTGTGCAAACACAAAGATGCTGGAGTCTTATTATTATTATTATTTTGGTTGGAGGTCTCAGCTTCTTTACTTTTGGGTCAGGGGCTGGAATTAGATGGCCTAATTTTCCGTCACGGCAGGAATGGCATAAACGTTTGAGAATTTGGGCATGCCAGGTCAAAAAGAAGGTTATAAGGAAAGACAATATAGACTAAAGAGGGCTCATAATAAGATCAGAAGAAAGAGTTGTTGCTTAAGGAGACACACTGGCATAGCCCAGCCCCTCCCAGCTCCAGTTAAGAGAATGGGAAGGGAGAGACAACAGAACACACACTGATTTAAACACACAGCTCGCCTATGCCATGAAGTGTCTCAAGGTCATACATTATTATCTTTTATTTTTCATCTAAGCATAGTCAGCATTGCTCATTCTTAGCTCACTGTCAATCAAGAGAGGTTTCTCACCTCAACTATCAGGACTTTGACAACTGTGTCCTTTTTCCCGGTTTCAGGAACTGTGGCCACCTCAGAACCACAAGGCTCTGGGGACTGTTGTGCTTCCGCAGTCACAGAGAAGTTCACATTCCCTGAAACACAGTTAGAGCTGAGCTAAGATGAGACAGGAACTTCGCCTCCTCCAAAAAGATCTGAAAAGGTCAAGGTCTTGTCAGTATTTCAGAATGTGGTGAGCATGTGCCAGAAGCAGTGGTGACCAAAAGTTTAGTGACCCAATGAGAAGGAAGCAACTTAAGCAACCTTCCTACCTTCTTCCTCTCTGTATAGAGCACCATCACAGAATTTTCACTCACCTAATGACTTGGGAGTTACCAACCAGGATGCGGTGTGCCTCCCATTGGCACAGAGGCAGTGAGAATCTTGGTCTTTTGCCACTGGGACAGCTGTGAAATCAGGGGATTCTTCCAGCAGCACACCCACCTGTGCCACATGGGCAAAGAAATAACAGAGATGTCACCATAGAAGGTCACAGAAAGGGCGTAGAGAGCAGAACACATGTGCCTAAAATGTCACATAACATGACACAGAAGGCTCACACAGGTTTCATATGCACACACCTGTCTAGAATTTTATTTAGCTATCATTATGTATTAGCTACACAAATGATTAGAGAGATAATCATATGTTTATCTACTTATGTTAGTTTATTTTGATTGCAAAGATATATTTACCATATTAGACTTTTAAGTATTACATTAATGTATATACCTATCTTAGCAAAAGAAAATCCATAGTAGAACAATCTGCCATTTTATGCTGACAACAGCTTACTATATCTTTGGGGACCATATCTTTTGATTGTATCAGGAGACCACATGGAATATCCTGTGACTGTCATTACAGTACCTGCTATTTAAATACTGGCAAAATCACATAATGCATTTTATGTAGTGTCCATATTGTTAAACAACATACATATATGTGTGTGTGTGTGTGTGTGTGTGTGTGTGTGTGTGTGGGAGTGTGGGGATTTTTTTTTAAACATTTGTAACCAGGGCTGAGGGGTCAATACAATTCTTTCTCCCTTTATTCCATCTTTTCATTTAATTCTTAGTTAAATTTTACACACTTTCCCTCTTCCCCTCTGGTGATGCTTAATTGGGAAAGGTCTTTACCCGGATGCATGTAGGGAGGTAGTTGAGCACAGTGGCCTTGAGTGTGAAGGTTTCTCCACGGATCACAGAGTAGGGCATCGTGAGCTCCACAAAGAAGGGCTTGAAGGCTTGGAGAGATACCACAGGAGAGAGGCCAAGGCCAGTGTCATTGGACAGGCAGAGGGCTCCAGCCTTCCACTCAGTGATGGTGTCAGGGACTGTCACCTCCATTTCAGTCACTCCAGATGAGCTGGGAAAGTGAAAGCATGAAACGCAGGAAGTTAGAGTGTGAATGATTTATTTCTGAGATGGTAACAGAGTGTGGCCTAAAGCCACCCTTTTGAGCCCTTCAAAGGAGTCATAGGAATCAAACAGTGTGAACAGGACTCCAAATGAAAAAAATAAAAGGTCTTTCTGTACTCTTGTTTTCACAACTCATGGCATCATGACACCTCAAAGTCTGTATGATAGTGAAAATTTGAACATAGATTTGAAGTTGTGTGGTGATATATTATTTAAGATTTAATAAATATTGCCTCGAGTGTCAGAAAGCAAAGCCACCTACACTACTTAACTGTAGAAGCTAGGCAGCAGTGGCAAAATCCTTTAATCCCAGGACTCAGGAGACAGAGGCAGATGGATCTCTGTGAGTTCTAGGTCACCCTGGCCTACACAAGAGTGAAGAGTAACAGAGCTCATGCGTTCAATCCCAGGATAGGGAGGGTGAGGCAGGAAAATATGGTTGGGTGGAGAAAAGAATGTAAGAAGGAGGAGACAGCAACTGAGAGTTTTTGTCTCTGAGGATTCGTGGAGACAGGATTGCTCTTTCAACCTGAGGAAGAGTTAAGATTTACTGGCTTGACTCTTTCTTCCCTGCTCTGAAATCCAATATCAGTCTCTGGGTCTTTTAATATTTGTTTTACATATTGGCACCTAGTTTTTATTTAACTTGTTACAAAGTTGTCTCTAAACTCCCATCTCTGAAACACTATATGACAATTTTATGACTTATATGATCTACTCCAAGTAGGACTGCCTCACTTATTACTCAATATAGTGTTCCTGAATAGTTTTAAGCATCAGAGAAGTATATGATAATTTTACATGAATTTTCTGGGACTGATGGAAACACATATATTTTATAATTGATGGGTTGATGTGCTATGGTCTTCTGAATTAGCCATTTCTTTTGTTTATGATGGAAATTAGAGAAGTACTAGAAGACAAAGAAATAGAATTTTCATACCCAGCCCAAATCCTACAAATGGGAATTACTTACTTTACTGTGACTAAATCCCAGATCCAGGTTTCGGGAAAATATTTTCGAATGGTTTCAGTGGCTAGATCTGCAGCTGGTGGATCTTCATGTCCTACTTTGGGCATGGTTCTTGAGTCTCCTCTGTTAGTCACACCATCAAATGCCAGAGCAGGCACTATGAAGGTACAGTGGAAGACATGAACAAAGACTGAGTACAGTGGACACAATGTGCAGAGTAAATGTAGCGTAATTGTCACTTTCCTCCTGGCTGTTCAATGCTACTACAATGACACTGGAAGTGATACAATGAATCTGTCATTTTGGGGGGAGAGTAGCTAACATCTTTTTCAAAAGCAGAAACAATGAAATGAAATCCTGGAGAAAACATCACCCAGTGTAGTTGAGTTGGAAGGAAACATGGTGCCTATTTTCTTGGGTGGGATGGTCAGGGGATGCTTCCAAATGTAATGTTACACTGGGGGAATGAAGATCCATAATACTACTTCCCAGACAACGGGTCCTGTGGCTACAATGAGAATCACTTCAGACTAGAGCTGAATGACGGCTACATCATCAGCAGAGACATTCTTGGAATGCCTTTAATTTCGATAGATTTCTAGATCTGTAGGATTATCCCAATATTTTAATTGGTTTCAATGTAAATAAAAACTGAAAGAGGTATAGGTACAAACTCTTGGATCACAAATCCACAAATGGAAAAGTCCATACAGAGGTTGTAGTTTTGTTTGCTTTTGTTTTTGTTGGTGGTGGTGATGCAAAAGAAGTTCACTACTCACTAGTCCTAGCATTTGCTTGGATTTATACTGGTGAGAATTGGAAGGTTTCAAGGGGGGAACCAGGGTCTGTGCTCTGCTTCTTCCATGAACAAGTATACATGCTGATTCAGTCAGGGCTTCACCTCAGTATCTCCCAACTGAATCTCACCATTGAAAATCTCTTCCCCTTTTAAAATATACACACATACAGACAGCTTCATTTCTATGGATCCTTCTCTGTGATGGGCACAGACTGCAACCCGTCTTTCTATTATTTAGTAATTCCTAGTGACTAAGTTCTTCACTCTTTACCTTAAGCATCTACAGGGAGAGTTGCCCAATTTATCCATGATCTAGGCTAGTCACAGTGTCTTAGGTCCTGTTGCTTTTAGAAATTGGTGGTGATCTTTTGGTTTCTTTACAAATCAGTATGGGGAAAATTAATACTTCCCAGTCAGAATTATATTTTATTTTATTTAGCACACATGAAAAAATAAATTTTAATATTTATAATATACACTAAATAATAATAGAATATAAATATAAATGAAATAATAAATAATAATGAAGATAGGGATTCATGTTTTCAAGTTATATTGCATAGGTATAGTAATAAAACCAGCATGGTCCTGGCACAAAAATAGACATATTGGTCCATGGAATAAAATAAAAAATTCAAATAGGAGCTCATGTAATTACAGCCATCTGATAGTTGACACAGATGCCAAAACACACACTAGAAGAAAGATGGAATTTTCAGCAATGGTGCTGTGAAACTGGATGCTCACATACAGAAGAATGGAAATAGACCACATCAATGACACTGTACCAAAATCCACTCCAAAAAGATCAAGGATCTCAACATGAAATCTGAAAACGCTAGAAAAGAAAGATAAGCAGTAACCCTACAAAATAAAGTTGCAGGAAAGTTCTTTTCTAAATAAGATCCAGTCATTTCGAAATTCAGGTCAATAATTGACAGTTGGGTCCTCAAAAAACTGAAATGGTTCTGCACAGCTAAGAAAATGATCAACTGAATGAAATGGAGCCCACAGAGCAGGAGAGGAACTTGCTGTCTGTACATCTGATAGAGGATAAATATCCAGACTATAGAAATAACTCAAAAAAAATCTATACAAGTGTTAAAACAACAACAACAACAACAACAACAAAAACAATTTAATAATTGGCTGTGGGTCTAAACACAGTTTTCAAAAGAAATAGAATTGCCTAAGAAATATCTTTTAAAAATGTTCATAATGCCAGCAGTTAAGGAAATCTAAATTAAAATAACTTGAGATTTCATCTCACCCCATTCAGAATAGTCAACAAAACAACTGACAACCAAATTGGAGAGGGTGTAGGGGAAAGGGGAGCTCATTTGCTGAGGGTGGGGATGCAAACTGGTGTAGCAACTCTGGAAGTGACTCTCATGGCAGGAAGAGGGAAAGGTTTAAGATGGTTAGTGCTGGTTGAAGACAGAGTGAGAAATCACCCTTGACTCAAGTGCTTTGCTTTACCGTCCTCACTCTATCTGCAGTGCCTGGTTTTTCCTTCTGGTCTTTGTCTCTAACACTTAGGAAATTCTCCTCACCTGTTAGTACATGTCTACAGAAGTTCTTCACACTTCACACAATGAGTCTCTATTGCAGTAACAACTGCATTTTGTCTTATCTGTCTAATATTGAAGGAAGAGCCTCTAATCTTTAACTTCCTTGTAGTACCACCATACATTTGCGCACGTTTTGCTCAAGTAAGTTTGAGTTCTTTCTCTCTTTTTGGATACTATACATGCTCTGCAATTTTATTTTATCCCCTTTGATAAACAATTCATATTGATTTTATTCTGAAAATATATGCTGATTTGTTATTTTACCTGCTATTGGAGGGTAAATGTCAGCATATGAAAGACAAAATTTACGATATTTGATCTTCAAGTTGGTAAATGCCTTTAAGCCCATGTCCTGGAAAGAAAATTATTAAATCAAGCAAATTATCTCAAAATTCTGAGCAAACTCAAAGTGTATAAAAATTATAGTAACTAATCGGGATATAGTTTCACATGTTGAAGTAGAATTCTATTCAAATTGTGTTGTTCATGCTATTTACAGAGTGTGTTGAGAAACACAAAATTCCTAGTGAGGCACATGTGCTGGCCTTCTTTCTGATACAATGCCCTGTTATTTTAAAAAGTCACTCACAGCCATGCACAGTAGCACATGCCTTTAATCTCAGCACTTGGGAGGCAGGGACAGGGATATCTCTGTTTTGAGATATTTGATTACCCTGTGTAAAGATATGTCCCTATGATTGATGTAATAAAAAGCCAAACAGCCAATAGCTAGGCAGGGATACTAGGCAGGATTTCCAGGCAAGGAGAGTAAGTGGGAAGAGGAATTTAGGTAGGAAGGGTTGGGGGAAGAAAAAGAAAAAAAATGCCAGGGGCCAGATAGCCAGAAAGCTAGTCAGAGAAAGCAGGAAAGCAGAACCTACAGCATGAAAGAAAGGTAAAAAGCCCCAAAGCAAATTGTAGATGAATAGAAACAGGTTAAATTAACTTATAAGAGCTAATGGGACGAGCCTAAGATAAGGCTGAACATTCATAATTAATAATAAGTCTCTGGGTCCTTATTTTGGAACTGGCTGGTGAGACAGTTGTTATAGATCTCTGTTAGTTTACGCTAGACTGGTCCACGGATTGAGTGCCAGGACAGCCAGAGCTACATAGTGACAGCCTGTTTAAAAAAAAAAAAAAAAAAAAAAACTCATCTAGTCTGTGCCTAGACAGGTAAGGTGGTCTGCTGGTGATTAATATCCCTGGCCTGACTCTGGAATTCTTTACCAATACAGCATTTCATTAAACCCAAAGAATTCACAGAGCAGAACGTTAATGGGCAATATGGCTTACCTTCACATAACGGTAGACATCCTTCTCATCTGGGTGCAATAATACTTCACCTGTGGGCTTGTCAGTCCGCACACACGGTTCTAGCTCTTGAAATATTTGGTCTGGAGTTGGAATGATTTCAGTTTGCCGCATTTCTGGCAGGTTGTATATCTGTAAGAACAGGGGACAAGGGTGCCTCTTTCTTGGGTTTTTGTAGAAGATACTCATGAAAAGAAATGGGTCTGTTTGATCACTGGAAATTCCTTCTAGAATGTTCACGGATCCCCAAACAAGGTTTTCTAAATATTTCCTGTTGAAGAGTGCATTATTCTGAAGGTGTTCACAAGATGTAGAAAAAGACTAAACATATTCCACTTATTAAAAAGAGAGTGTAAATCCTGCATATTATTTTTGAGAATGATGTGTTTTAACATAATTTAATAAAAAATTAAACATTTAGAAACATGCTTACACTATATAAACCATTCAATAAATACAAAACACTGAAGTTGTATATTTCAGCCTACTGGTATACTATAAAACAAACAAACAAAACAAAAGTTGAGTTAGTCAATATGTAGATAACCTGAAGAGATCTGAATGAAGATTTCTTTACAAATTTTCCTAAAATTTAGGGGAAAAAATTCAAAACAAAACAAACACACCCAAGCCACCTCCATCTTTGATGGAAGGGTTTGTTCAACCCTTGAAACTGCAGTTCGTGGAATTAGAAAGAGGTAGAGGGCCTGCAGGTGACATGTCCGAACAGAAACGCATCATGCTTTAGTGGCCGTTGGAGACGCTGATGACATACAAGCAATTTTGCCAGACTGCAGGGAACCCAGCCTGGGCATTGGAGGTCAGGAGCCCTAAAGGCAAGGGTAGGTGGAGATGTGTGAGGAAAACAGGAAGCCAAATCTTGTCAACCCAGGATGTTCAGACCCTGTGTCTCTGAGACATGAAATTGTTCTTGGGACAGGGTAGTGACTCTGGGGGAAAAAAGCTTACAAACTGTCTTTTCCCTTTGGTGGCTTCTCTCTAAAGAGCAGACTGACTTACTTATAAACCCAGCCAGTCATGTGACAGACAGCATCACCCCAGGACAGACCACAGGGCCAACCTCAGTTCTCTATGAATAGACACGCAATTCTTCTGCAGAGTTCCAGTGTCAGTGACAGACACCAACATGAGCAGAGATAGGAGCTTTAAGAGAAGAGAAACCAAAGCAAAAAGAAAGGAATAAATAAACAATATACCATTCTCAAGTGATAGGAAACATTGTATCCACGCAGCAAACTCAAGACTATCTAAAATCTAGAGCAGGAAAAAATAGGTTTGGACATAAAGATAATTTGCAGCAAAATATTTAAAAATATGAACGGTACATCTGAAGGAAATAGCTCAAAAAAATAGAAAACCTCCTTCAGCAAATCCTATGGAACTAGAAGAAACCATCCTGCGTGAGGTAACCTAGTCACAAAAAGACAAACTTTGTATGTACTCATTCATATATGAATTTTAGACATAGAGCAAAGGATTACCAGCCTACAATCCTCTTCACCAAAGAAACCAGGACACAAGAAGGACTCTAAGGGAAAAATGCATGGACTCCAGAGAATGGGAAGGGGCAGGATCTCATGAACTAATTGTGCCCATGAGGGTAGGGGAGAGGGAGCTGGCAGAATGTGAAGAGGAGAAGAGGAGGGGAGAAGAGAAAATGGAGGAGCAGAAATGTTGATTTGGGGGAAGAATAGAAGAGAACAGGATGAGAGATACCATAGCAGAGGGAGCCATTATCGGTCTGAAGAGATATCTGGCACTAGGGAGATTTCCAGAGATCTACAAGGATGACATGAACTGA